GTAAATTATTCATGTAGACACTGAGTTCTTATATGGTAATGTTATAGTTTCAAAGGCATTTTTATTACTTTCTCTTTCTCCTCAGTTGAAAGCCTATGCTTTTTGCTACTATTATGCACGACTGACAATGTCATAACAAATAGTGGCAAAGTCAAAACTAAAGAGTAACACAAGAAAGAGAAGTTTTAAAAAATACTTGCAAGTCAAATTATAATTTTTTCTTAAAAAGTATTGTCCTTTATATACAAAGTAGAAGCTAAAGAGACTTCTATTGGAATATGCCTAGATTGCATTTATTATGTCTATTTCCCTTACTCTAAATACCACAAACCAGTAGGACATTTGACTAAAAATGTGAGAATTAAGACCAAATGATAAACACTGGGATCAAATTTAAGAATTTTGCTTCAGTCACAGGACATCAATTAACTGGGGGAAAATGAGATGCCACATATTTTGAAAATGATTTTTTTTTAACTAATTGGAAATGATAAGTTTATCACTTACCCTTTTTGAATCTGTAAAGGTTGAAGATCTCCAATTGGTAATCCATCTGAAGTAAAGAATTTAAGCAATTCTTTAGCATCCAATAACGTAATTGAATCCCGTGGACCCTCTCTGTGGCCCAGCAACTGTTCCGATGCACAAGGTAAGGAGCCAGTTCTGGAGAAATAATGTCATGTAGATTTATTAAAAGTGGATTTGAATTCACCAATCAGCAAAAGCTGACAGAAGCAGAAACTAGAAAAATCAACAAAGAGAACTGAAGAACTGCACATTTCGGGAAGAAACTAAAGCAAAAAAAAGTTTTAAATACAGCAAATCATTTACAATCAAAGAATAGTTTTAAAAAAGCCGTGGGTCACAGGGAACCCTGCAGCTCCCATGTCAGCAATGCTGCTATAGCTACTACAGCTATTTAGCTAAAATAAAATGCTGGTATGACTAATTACTTAGTAGTGAGAAGTTATCAATCCTATAAAATTTAAATCTCAACTCCCTTGCATGTTCTGAAACCCGAGACTATTGTAGACTGTGTTGGGTAGAGACTAAATGCTCCCATTTTCTATCAGCATGAAAGATTACTTGAAGCACCAGCATGAAATGAGACGGTATCAGAACCCTCTCCAAGGCCTCTGTAGCCATGATTATGACATTATGAATAAGCAGTGAATCATTAGTGTACCTGCAATACATCCAGAACTTTACACTTTTTTAACTACTTTACATACAATATATTCTTAAGCCTCAAAAATTTCCAGGAAAAAGACAGTATGATTCTTATCTCAAAATGAAGTTAACACCTGAAAATAAGTACTTTGTGAACTGAAAATCAGTATACCAAGTTTAAAAAATCACTATTACTCCTATGTTTCAGATAAAGATACCAATATACAATAGATTGCATGACGGACCCAAGGTGACACAGCTGTTTAAAGTGACAGAGCCAGAACTAGACTGACTTTGAATTAGGTACTATTTCTACTCTATCATTCTATGAATCCAAAAAGCTCCCAGAAAAATTTTAAGACTGGAAAGAGGAAAATACTTTAGTTCTAGAAAATGTTCAAGGTTTTACCAAGCACTGAGTCAGAGATCACACTATTTCTCTGTCACCAAAGCATAAATAAAATTTTTCAATACCTACACAGAAAATTAATTTCCTGACTTTATTAATTCAATAACTTCCTGATTATGTTTACTCAAATCAAGCATTTTTATTCCCCTTATTTTTAAACTGAAAATATAAATGCAATAAATATAGTAAAACAAGAAAATACTCAAATATTTCACTGAACTTTACATTTATACTCCAAAAAAACAGGAACTACATTATGTTTAACTTAATTTCTTTTTTTTTTTCTTCCAGAAAATTCCTTGTCGTGGCTTTATTTTTTTAGTATCATTATTATACAATTACATGAACAACATTGTGGTTACTACATTCCCCCCATTATCAAGTCCCCACCACAAACCCCATTACAGTCACTGTCCATCAGCATAGTAAGATGCTATAGAGTCACTACTTGTATTCTCTGTACTATACTGCCTTCCCCGGGCCCTCCCTACATTATATTGCTAATTGTAATGCCTCTTAATCCCCTTATCCCTCCCTTCCCACTCATCCTCCCCAGTCCCTTTCCCTTTGGTAACTGTTAGTCCATTCTTGGGTTCTGTAAGTCCTTCAGTTTTCTCTTTGTTCTTACACTCCACATATGAGTGAAATCATTTGGTTCTTGTCTTTCTCTGTCTGGCTCATTTCACTGAGCATAATACCCCCTACCTCCATCCATGTTGTTGCAAATGGTAGGATTTGTTTTCTTTTTATGGCTGAATAATATTCCATTGTGTATATGTACCACATCTTCTTTATCCATTCATCTACTGTTAGACACTAAGGTTGCTTCCATTTCTTGGCTATTGCAAATAGTGCTCAGATAAACATACAGGTGCATATGTCTTTTTGAATCTGAGAAGTTATATTCTTTGAGTAAATTGCTAGGAGAGGAATTCCTGGGTCAAATGGTATTTCTATTTTGAGTTTTTTGAGGAACCTCCATACTGCTTTCCACAATGGTTGAACTAATTTACATTACCACCAGCAGTGTAGGAGGGTTCCCCTTTCTCCACATCCTCACCAACATTTGTTGTTGTTTGTCTTTTGGATGGTGGCCATCCTAACTGGTGTGAGGTGATATCTCATTGTGGTTTTAATTTGCATTTGTCTGATGATTAGCGATGTGAAGCATCTTTTCATGTGTCTGTTTGCCATCTGAATTTCTTCTTTGGAGAAGTGTCTTTTCATATCCTCTGCCCATTTTTTAATTGGATTATTTGCTTTTGGTTTGTTGAGGTACGTGAACTCTTTGTGTATTTTGGATGTCAAGCCTTTATCGGACATGTCATTTATGAATAAATTCTCCCATACTGTAGGATGCCTTTTTGTTCTACTGATGGTGTCCTTTGCTGTACAGAAGTTTTTAGTTTGATATAGTCCCACTTGTTCATTTTTGTTTTTCTTTCCCTTGCCTATGAAGATATGTTCATGGAGAAGTTGTTCGTGTCTATAGTCAAGAGAGTTTTGGCTATGTTTTCTTCTAAGAGTTTTATGGTTTCATGACTTACATTCAGGTCTTTGATCCATTTCAAGTTTACTTTTGTGTATGGAGTTAGACCGTAATCTAGTTTCATTCTCTTACATGTAGCTGTCCAGTTTTGCCAACATCAGCTGTTGAAGAGGCTGTCATTTCCCCATTGTATACTCATGGCTCCTTTATCATATATTAATTGACCATATATGCTTGGGTTTATATCTGGACTCTCTAGTCTGTTCCATTGGTCTATGGGTCTGTTCTTGTGCCAGTACCAAATCATCTTGATTACTGTGGCTTTGTAGTAGAGCTTGAAGTTGGGAAGCAAGATCTCCCCCCCACCGCCACTTTATTCTTCCTTCTCAGGACTGCTTAGGCTATTTGGGGTCTTCTGTGGTTCCATATGAATTTTAGAACTATTTGTTACAGTTCGTTGAATGCTGTTGGTATTTTGATAGGGATTGCATTGAATCTGTAGATTGCTTTCGGCAGGATGGCCATTTTGACAATATTAATTCTTCCTACCCAAGAGCCTGGGATGAATTGCCATTTATTAGTGTCCTCTTTAATTTCTCTTAAGAGGGTCTTGTAGTATTCAGGGTATAGGTCTTTCACTTCCTTGGTTAGATGTATTTCTAAGTATTTTATTTTTTTTGATGCAGTTGTGAATGGAATTGTTTTCCTGATATCTCTTTCTGCTAGTTCATTTTTAGTGTATAGGAATGCAACAGATTTCTGTGTATTAATTTTGTATCCTGCAACTTTGCTGAATTCAGATATTAGTTCTATTAGTTTTGGAGTGGATTCTTTAGGGTTTTTATGTATAATATCATGTCATCTGTAAACAGGGACAGTTTGACTTCTTCCTTACCAATCTAGATGCCTTTTATTTCTTTGTGTTGTCTGATTGTCTGATTGCTGTGGCTAGACCTCCAGAACTATGTTGAATAAAAGCAGGGAGAGTGGGCATCCTTGTTTTGTTCCCGATCTTAGAGGAAAAGCTTTCAGCTTCTTGCTGTTAAGTATGATGTTGGCTGTGGGTTTGTCATATATGGTCTTTATTATGTTGAGGTACTTGCCCTCTATAACCATTTTGTTGAGAGTTTTTATCATGAATGGATGTTGAATTCGATAGAATGCTTTTTCAGCGTCTATGGAGATGATCATGTGGTTTTTTGTTCTTTTTATTGATGTGGTGGATGATGTTGATGGATTTTCGAATGCTGTACCATCCTTGCATCCCTGGGATGAATCCCACTTATCATGGTGTATGATTCTTTTGATGTATTTTTGAATTCGGTTTGCTCATATTTTGAGTATTTTTTCTTCTACATTCATCAGGGATATTGGTCTATAGTTTTCTTTTTTTGTGTTGTCTTTGCCTGGTTTTGGTTAGAGTGATGCTGGCCTTGTAGAATGAGTTTGGAAGTATTCCCTCTTCTTCTATTTTTTGGAAAACTTTAAGGAGAACAGGTATTGTCTTCTCTAAATGTCTGATAAAATTCAACAGTGAACCCATCTGATCCAGGGATTTGTTCTTGGGTAGTTAATTTTAATTTAATTTCTATATAACTAGTCTCTAACAGTGACTTGCAAATGTTTTGTAATGAATATTACTCATTTAACACATTGAATGCAATGGGGAAATGTATGACTTGCATTTATATAGAACCTTGGACACAAGGATATCAAAGCAATTTAAAAGCCCAGTTTGTGTAAGTTACCCTACCAAAATATGTTATAGATTTAAATAAATAAATAATAAAATAACACTTAATTTTGTTCAGTGTTTCAAGCTTTCACAAAGTATTTTTTCATATATTATCTTATTATCACAACTTTGAAGTGGAAGTGGGATTGTCATACCCATTTTAAAGATGAGGCAACACAATCACTCAACAACAGGTGACTGAGTTTGTCTAAAACCAAATTCTTGACTTCTAAATTTCACTATGCAATGGTCCTTTACTTTCCAGCTAACCCTGTTTTAACACAAAACAAATTCTGAAAATAGGCAACACAAGTTCTGTCCCCAGCCAAGAATTCAATGGTATCTCCCCATGTTCTGAAGTGATTGCATATTCAACTGGCCATTTACTTTGTAAATACCATGTGAGGTCCTAAAAGGAGCTCACTAATGGTAATTCAAGACTCATAATCACTGCTCATAATTTAATATATAGGTGTGACTTGAAGTAGGAGACAGAGAAGAAGGGAGTGAAAGGAGATAAATATAACAATGTAGAATGAGGTACAAAGGGTACAATAAGTTTCATGAAAGAAGTACTAACACAGTCCTTAGGTAATTAAAGAAGGAAGAGAACACTGAGTTGCAGCATTTATAAAAGACTTCAAAAAAAGGTGATATTTGATTTAGACATTGAATGGCAAACCAAGATGGCAAGTTCAAGATGATGGATAAAACATACACATTAACTTCTCCGCTCATACAAACAAATCACAATGTTGAAGTAGCGGGTATAAATTCACAACAGGTTGAGAAAAGGAAGAATGAAACATGGTAGACAAAATATTTTAATTAATTTCAAAAAAGAATAAACTAGATCAAATGCCTCAATAAGAACTAGAAAGAAACCTGCAAAAAAGGCAGAATCTGTCTTCATCCCAACCCACAAAATCACAGCAAGACTCTAAACTTGGGCTCAAGGAGTAGCAATGGAGAGAAATCAGGCAATTTATTTTAAGAACCCTACTAGAGCAGTTGTTCAAGTACCATCCCTACATCCCCCTAACTCCCCTGCTTTTACCTCCAAGTTAAAAATAGGGAAATTGCTCTCTGAAGATCTAGAACTATATGCTTGTTCCAGTATGGTGGTGACATCTCCAGAATAAAGCCCTCTAATGTGAGGGTTGGGTGAAGGACCAAGGCTGCCTGCCTTCTGATACCCCAGGTACCCTAAGGAGAATTCTGCCAGGTATGCTCTACCCTGCATTGCTCCCTCCTCCCAACATTCAGGTGAGAACAGGTGGAGGAAAGGACTACACACAGAGAAAACACATGACAGTTACCTATGTACAAAAGCCTGGTACTAAACTTTTAGTTATAAACAATCAAGGGCCACCAAGACGTTGGAGAAAAATAAATATAAGAGGAAAACACGAGAGGAGCAAATAAAAAACCCAAAGGATAATGAGATTATTCAAGAAACAGATAAAAGAAGTTAAAAGAAAATTCCAATTAATATCTTTAAAGAATTTTCTCAATTCTCATGATTAAAAAAACTAGTTGCTAATGAAATAGGGTAGAGAACAAAAAAGAAGTATTAGTAATTTAAAGTATGACTACCAATAAACTTGCCAGAAAAGCTGAAAGCAAAGGTCAAGGAAATAGCCTAGAACATAGAGCAGAAAAGATGGAGATGGATTTTTGAGAGAAAAATCAAATGTGAATGCAAAAAAACAACAACAAAAAAATCAATCCAGAATGTTTAATATTACTTAAAACATATGTCAAAGAGAAAGAAAAAAAGAAAATAGGAGGGAGAAATTATTGAAGAAATAATAGAATATTTCCCAGAGTCAAAAAAAAGACAAAAGTCTTGAAACCAAAACATTTCACACCATGATGGCATCATGTAATTTCAGAACATTAAGGAAAATAGAAAATTCTGAAAGTTCCAGAGACAGAATACCTATGAAGGAACAAAAATCAATCTGGCATAAGTTTTTCATTAAGATATGAGACCCAAGAAAACAGACCTGACCTAGATATATGATCAAAAGAAATACCAGAATGACAGCTGTGCAGGTAGGAAGGGTCAGTCCAAATTAAAGTAGGAAGTCAGAGAGGTGCAAGAAAAATGACTTCAAGAAGAAAAATAACTGTCTATTGTAAATAACATATAGTTCAGAGGTAAAGAATTAAAAGTGAAGAGAAACAGTGTTAATTTCCTCTGTTAAAAGTTAAAATTTATGGCTGAAAATTTATAGCCAAGAAATCGAAATTCTTTTGTGGATAGCCTATCCTTTTCTTAATCTTCTTTCTACATTGTTCTTCTTCCTGACCTAAGAACATGAGAGATCCTCAGGAAATGGTCCCTAGCCCTCTTCTCTTTTCTCTACATGGTATCACCAAGAGATGTCATCCACTTTTGCATTTAAGGACTCCTTTGGATGATAACTACCAATTGGCTTTCAGATTTCTCCTCCAGTCCCACTTGATATATCTACTTACATAATTCATAGATCAGACTTAGCATTCCTAAAATACAACTCTTAATTTTCTCCCCAAAGCTGTTCATACCCTTACTTCCCACTAATCTTCCCCATCCCATGAGTAGGAACACCACTCACCATGTTGCTCAAACCAGAAATCTGAATTATCTTGGATGCCTCTCTTTCCCTTTCTTCCACATGCAATCCATCAATGAGATTTTTCCATCTTACCACCAAATTACATCCCAAATTATTTCTCCACTACTATTCTAGTTAGAAGCCAAAGTTATCTCCCATTAGAATACCTAGTTGATCTCTGTATTCCTAATATCTTCCTCCTACAATTTATTTGCAACAAAAGAGCAAAAGGAATTTTGTAAAATTAGATTGCATCACTCTTTGGTATAAAATCCTTCAAAAGCTTACCACGAAACTAACAATAAAATTCAAAATCTGTATTATGATATATAAGGTCCCATATGATTAAAAGTGCTTCACTTATTTATCTTTCAGTCTCAGCTCAAATGTTACCTCCTCAGAGCTTTCCCTGACCACCCACCTGATCTAAGTTACCACCACTTCCCTCCCCTCAACAAATAAAATTATCCTCCCTTAGTTCCTTTATTTGTTTCATTCATCACGTATAGAGTAAATTATAATTATTATATTTACTTGTCTAGTTGTTTTCTGTGACTGTCTCTCCCTTAATAGGTAAGCTCTAAAAGGAGAGCCTGACACATAACTGGTGCTCAGAAAGTATCTGTTAATATACATAACAAAATATTATAGCAAGTCATAAATGTTATCAACAGAAGAGCTAAAAATAAAAATGAGATTTGCAATACTTGGGAGGAAGGCAATATAAGGCAGCTAAATTCCACATCTTTTATCCCATTATTCCATCATCCAAAAAGTATGTATGAAGTGTCTACTATGTACTGAACCAAACAAAAATAAACACAATACAGAAATAAATTCTGTCTCTTGGAGTTAGTTAATAGCTACTATAAACATATAAGACATATAAGACAGCAAAACATTATAAGACAGTATACAAACATATAAGACAGTAAAACAGAGACTGTTTAAAGTGGCCCCTGTAGTGTTTAAATTTTTCTTACATGTGCATATACTTGTGCATGTCTATGGAAAATAGTCTGAAAAGCCATCCACTAAAGTGCTAACTGTGATTATGTATATCTGGAAAGTGCAAGGAGAAGTAATAGAAGAAAAGCATTTTCTCAATATTACTACTCTATAATGCCGTATCTCTCTATCTATCTGGTTACAGTAAGCATTTATCTCTTTTATAATAAGACTATATACTACTTATATTTCATAAACACAACTTAAGTATTGAGAAAAAATTTTTCATTTAAAACTAACTACTGAGCTATTTAGACATTACCTCATTTTTTGTTTTGCTTTTTCGAAAGTTTCCAAATTTTGAAAAACATGCCTTTCTGGCCATTCTAGAGGATTGGTTTCCATTAGACTTGAAGAACTAGGTTCCACTGGACTGGTATCTAAGAGAAAGAAATATACGTAAGTACTGATAGTATTAACATACTGAATTTCGATATACAAAATGTATACATGTAGATAAATATACACATCCATGCATGCACATCTATTTATGAAGCCATGTTGGACTGATTGCACAATATTACATCAGGCATTTACTAAGGATATCTCTGATGGCCTGAACTGTGCAAAATACCATAGAAAAGTTTTGAGGAAATGAAAAAAAATCAATGTTAAGTCTTATTTATTTTACTATATCCTCATAATAGAAGTTATGAGCTAGAATTCAGAAAACAAATTAGCACTGTAAGGATTCATGTATAACAAAAATTTGTTTGCTGATTTTATGAAATTAGTTCTAAATGAAAAGAAAGCATCTCTGTGAATTATATATTAGATATAGTATGTGATTTTCATACTGTAAACAGGAATTAGCACATTATCCAGAAAAATCCCTATCTTTAAAGAGATTACCTCATTCTCAAAAGTACAAAAATACAATAAATAACTCATGACATTTTTCAGGCAAAGGTTACTTTACTTTAGAAATAATTTCTCACTTATCTATTAGTGTAGGAAGCCTTAACACACACATCTTCAAGTACATCAGTAACATTATTTTACTACTAATAAAATATTCTGTGCACAGGTGTGATTATGTTCCTAGCTATTATGCTACAGTAAACTAAACATCGAAGAGTGCTGATTCTCATCAAAAAATACAAGGGGACAGCTTCCATTTTCATTGTAAATCATGAGTACATCCAAACTATTTTAATAGTAACAAAATTACTAACTGTATTATTTTTTTTGGATTCCAAAACTATCTGGCTTTTATAATTATTTTAAACCTTTTACACACTGTTCTAAAAATCTGAAGATTACTGGATGTTAGGCTAGTTAGTAATTCAACTAATCATCAACCCTGACAAAAATACCCATTTTATAATTTCAGGTTTTACAAAATGATAATGATTTGATAAAGAAATTTTTAAACGAAACAGAAAAAAATTAAACATGAATAAAAACATAAACCAACTGTGTGTTACTCCCCCTTTATTTATTAACTATTAAGCCATGAATATTTTTAAATATTTTAATAATTTAAAAGATTCTAATATTTTATTTTATCTAATGCCTACATTGGATTTCACCAACCAAACAGATCAGTTCCTGTCTCTCGATAAAGATGATGAAATACTGACTCTTTTATAGATTAGTAAGCTTTATAATGAAATAATCTGCTTTTTGATGTTGATATGTCTTTCCACTAAAAGTATAAAGAAAGAAGTCATTGGCAATTCTGAACAGTTATATGCTGAGTTCACAAAAGAATACAAGCCATGTTAAATAAAAGTAAGCATTAACTGCTCCTAGATATTATAATTAATCAACTTAATTATTATTAACTTTGTCTAAACAATCTACCTAAATATAAGTAACATTCATAAGTGCTATGTCTTTTGGGGAAATAATATAATTCTTAAACTAAAACACAATATTTTATGTGGCAGTCAGAACACTGAGCTACTGTGACAATCAAAAAGCACAAAAACGCCTCTGAGAAACCAAGAATACTTTTAAAAAAGTGTTTTACTTTACAAGAGAAAAAAAGAAATGGAAGCAATACAATAGGGAAACAGAGACTTAACACCTGCCCTACAAAATCTTAAGTCGCAGCAAACAAAAAAGGAAGCAATATGGCAGAAATAATATGTGGTTAATGAATATAAGCCACTATGGAACCTTACATTTGTAAATATAAAGGAAGCAATATTGCAGAAATAATATGTGGTTAATGAATATAAGCCACTATGGAACCTTACATTTGTAAATATAAACAAATCACAAAGAAAAGGTTGTAATTTGTATATGCTGTTTACTAAAGCAAGAATTATGAATACACACTAGAAGATTCTGATTAAAATTTTTGGAATAATAAAGTCGTGATCTTATAGAATTACCTAAAAAAACTCATTTATGCAGTATGTTTATGTTCCCAGTGCTCCCAGGTAAAGGATACAGTTACAGTATTTTGAGTTCGGATATCACATTTGGCATTGTGAAAGTCTGCAGCAACTTTGTGGCAATGAATAAATAAAATGGTTAGATCAAGACCTTTTTTCCATACTGACTTTCATTTGTTACACATGCTAGAGTTTTTACAAAAAAAAATAAGCAGATCAATAAACCTAACAATTGCTAATACCTTCTAATGTATGTGATTGTAAATAATGGGTCAGAACATGAAACATGATTGACTTTGCTGTTTCCCAGGCTGCACAATTTGCATATAGATGCGTTTATTCAAACAAAAGCTACAAAGGATGTTAAAAATCACAACTTCATTCTTAGGAGTCATGTTCAAATGTACAACCTGTCAAATTTCAGTTCATGTTCTAAGAAATCTTCAGGGCTTCTTTTATTTGTTCAACAATTATTTGGAGGAGGAATCTACTCCTATATGTCAGGTGCCATGCTAGGCTTTAGGGTACTAGAGAAAGAAAACAGGCACACCCCTTACCTTCAGAGACCATATAGTACTGCGAGAGGACAACTACTTATTTAGCATATATATTACTACAATTTAAAATAATCAAAGAAATATATAAAGAGCAATAATCAAAGAAAAATACAAAGAATGAGTGCAACAGACAAGTTAAATGGAGAAGGTCTGGGAAAGCCTCTTTGAGAAAGTAACATTTAAGTCAAGATCTGAAGAATGATTATCCATTAACCAGATAAAGACTGGGAGAAAGACATTCCAGAAAGAAGTCTTTGCCTGTGATGGAGAGGAATGTGTCCCTAAGATGGAGAGGAATGTGACACGTTCAAGGAACTGAAAGATTCTCTGTAGTAATAAGGAAACAGAAATGTGAACTGGAGGAAGCTAGAATCACCATAAGGTCAAATATCATTTAGGGTTTTTACACGTCACATTAAGGATGACACCTTCTTTGTACAGTGGGAAACAATCACAAAGGTTTGAGCAAAGGAGCAACATAATCTGATTTCCATTTTAAAATGACCACTCCTGTATCTCAGTGTGTTGTGTCCTAGAACTTGACTCTGTATGGGTAACTGTAAGATACAATTCCTTAAACTTATATAAAACCCCTTCCAATTATTTCAATCCTTTCTACCTTTCAACTGTTTTCTCCTGTACAAATCCTCTAGGTAAGCCAACCTCTCTCTTGATCTGTTTGCAACCTTTCTTACTTGCATGACTGTGTATGTCCTTCCTCCAGCTTGAAAATCCTGTCTTCTCCTCTCTACCTAGATCCTACGCATCCCTCAAGACCTACAGCAAGTCCCTTGGCTCCTACCAAAATTTTCTATGACTATTCTATCCTACTTATATTCCTCTCTTCTAAATTCATATTTATTTAACCAACAAATATATTGTACTTAATATCAGGCAACTTTGTAAGTAACTTACAAATAATTAATTTAATCCTCATGACAACCTATGTCATCCCTAATTTAAAGATAGGAAAATAAGGCTCACAGAAGTTAGAGAACTTGTCCAAGGTCACACAGCAAGTAAGCTGCAGAGCCAGGATGCAACCTTGTTAGTTTTGCTCCAGGGATCATGCTTTAACCAAGAAGCTATCCATCTCACTTACTGAACACATCCTCCATTTACAAGTAACCTTATACTGTCTCCAACACCTTTTGGATCTCTCTGCATTGCTATTTAAATTTGGTATGGATATGCAATACTGATGATAATGATAATGATAATGATAATCATACAAATGACAGCTAACAATTTTTTGGCATTTATTATGTTCCAAGTGTTTAACATACATCAACTCATTTAATCCTCACAATAACCCTGGTAAAGGGATAATATTATTATCTCCATTATAAACAGGAGGCATGGAAAGGTTAAATAAGTTGCCCAAAGACATTCAGCTAACAAGTGACAAAACTGAGATTTGAGCCTTGTAAGTCTAGCTCCAGAGCCTGGGCTCTTGAACCCAGTGGCACTAGATGCTGCCTTCGTATTTCTAATATGTCAAAATATGTCATATGCCTGTTGAAAGCCAAGGATCCAAATTCTTACATCTTTGTGCAGTATCATGGTGTCAGAGAAAAGGCACTCAACAAACATTATCGCTAACTTGATTTTTGGGGGGTCATTTTCTTATTAACCTATGGAAAAGAACTTATTTTCACAGCATAAAAACAAAAAATTGTCCTATACATTTAAAATGCCAGGCAATCATCAAATGCTTTCTTGTTAGATCTTGAAAAACTTTATGCTATTCAAGTTCATCACAAGAATAGAAACCAGGAAAATACAAAGAAATGCCAAGTTAACACAGAAATAATTTCCACCTCCTCCAGTGATTTTTGGTGACTGTTCCTGTTATAATAACTGGCAAATGTGGAGTATCTTATTATATGAGCATATTATTATATTTAATTTAGTTACTGTGTAAATTTACTGTATAGGTTCTACTATTTTTACCTTATGAAAATATTGCTTACTGTAAACCCCCCATTCTAGCAGTTTAATAAAAGCAGTAAGAGAGATCACCTTAAAATGCTTTCTCCCTCTACTCAAAAATAATTATACCGAACATGCCTAATGAAAAAAGTTAGAACTAAGTTTTTAATATTTAATGATAAGAAACACAGCTCATTACATATACATACATACTTGTACATACAAATTTATACCACTATTTAAATTTATAAGATATATTTTGATCAATACATTTTATTAGTTTTAATAACAAATAACTAGCATAAATGCCACACATGTGAAAAGAACTAATATTTAAAGTAACATAAAACTTACCATTCAACATATTGGAGGTTTTGTCTGTCTTTATTAGAATTGTTTTAGGAACATCAGCATCAAAATGATCTAAAAAGTGTTGCCTTGTGAGCACTAATAGACTTTTGAGTTCATCAACCGAAATTACTTCAGGCTTGTTTGCCAACTTTCTCCTTTCTGCAGACAACAAACCAGTATGATTAGCCATATGACTGATATTGTTAAGCCCCTCTAGAGTGCATCTACTGCTCTTTTATAGGAAATATTTCCAAAAGTATAACAACTGAACTTCTCCAGCAAATCAATGATCCTGTGTAGGCTACTTTTTGTTTCAATTCCATTTGTAGATAATAGTAGAATTCCCAGTTACTTGAGAGAAACGGGAATAGAGTAATTTGTTAACACCAAAAGGTGATAGGTGGTAAAGGCAAGTTTATAAAAGTTTTCAGAAATATACTGCAGAGCATTAAGAATGGCCTTATACTGAGGTTTATTTGGAAATAAAACCTGTAATACTTTCAGTTGAAGATGGTAGGTTGGCTACCTCCACCTATTTCTTGTCTTGCCCAAAACCTAAAATCATAGAAAAGAATAAGAAAGGACAACAAAAGAGGAAACATAAACAGTGACAATTTTTAATCAACTTTGGAAGACAAGACAATGGTGGAGTGGTAGCTGAGTCGTCAAACCACAAAAAGGGTCAACTTGGGTGATGCAGACGCACTGCCTATGAGGTTACTAGGAAGGTGCTTGCTGGTAAGGCCCAGGGCTGACATAGGACTGGAGATATGGCTGCCTAGGGAAGGAGCAGTGAGAACTCAAGATCCTCACCTCACCCTCCAGCCCTACTTAGCCAGGTGACTCTGCCCTCATTTTTTTTTGCATTAACTGAAAAGAAGTCCCAGCCAAGGAACATTCAGTACACAGAAAGGTAGCACTGATGCTTGGGTTATGACTAAGGGAGCATTAAAAGTCTGCCACTGTGGAAAGCAACACAGAGGCTCCTCAAAAAACTAAAAATAGAAATACCATTTAACCCAGGAATTCCACTCCTAGGAATTTACCCAAAGAAAACAAGATCCCAGATTCAAAAATACATATGCACCCCTATGTTTATTGCAGCCCTATTTACAATAGCCAAGGCATGGAAGCAACCTAAGTGTCCATCAGTAGATGAATGGATAAAGAAGAGGTATACATATCCACAATGGAATATTTATTCAGCTATAACAAGAAAACAAATCCTACCATTTGCAACAACATGAATGGAGCTAGAGGGTATTTTGCTCAGTGAAATAAGCCAAGCAGAGAAAGATAAATACCATATAATTTCACTTTTTGTGGAGTATAAAAACAAAGCAAAACTGAAGAAAGAAAATAGCAGTAGAAGCACTGACACAAAGAAGGGACTAGTGGTTACCAAGAGGGAGGGGCTGGGATAGAGGGAGGGCAGAGGATGCAGGGGATAAATGGGCACAATAATTCGCCATAATATAAGCTGGAAACAAGGATGGTAATACAGCATGGAGAATATAGTCAATGATTCTGTAACATCTTTCTACGTTGATAGTAACTGCATTAGAGGGAGTGAGGATTTAATAATAGGGCTTTGCCGAACCACTGTGTTGTATATTTGAAACCAATGTAAGATTGTATATCAATAATACTTCAACTAAAATAAAAAAATTCTGCATGCTGACAGGGCTAACTCCCAGCCCCACAGACAAAAAGCTAGCAGCTACCAGTGCCCCACTGGAAGATTAAAGGTTTCTTGTCTTGAAAAACTGAATGCCCTAGAGAAAAGAATGTGATACTGATACTGAGAAGGAGGTAGGGATGGGAACTGAATTGTCACTCCACCACTCTATAGTGCAGCTTACCAGATATGATGTTTTGGTGAGGCATCTAAAACTCCAACTTAAAACAGAACAGACAAAAAAGAATCACTGGACATTGAGGGAAAGGTATTGAGGGGAGAGGGGACTCTGCATTTCCACGGTCTGATGTTTCTATGAGCAAAACAATGTTTACAGCTCCTCTTCCTCCCATCACTCACTGAGCTAATCTACAGAAGAAATGAGGCAAGCTCTGATCAGATCCTTTCTCTCCAACTTTCATCTGAGCCAAGCAAGTCCTCAGGATGCTATTCTCTGCAATAAGGTGAGCCCTGTCTCCACTGGGGTTAGCCCTGCCTCCGATGGATTCATCTGCAGTTGCCTAGCTCTGACAGTAGCTCAGAGAATAAATTCAATTCTGGGTGTATTTATCACAAAATCTGGCCTTAAATCTAAAAAGTCATCTTTCAAACCAGCTTTCATCTCCATTGCCAGTAATTTATCTCTATTAGTGTGTTTCTTAGGTTTATTTTTTTTAATTGGTTCCAACTTTGAGAGCAGAAGAGAGTATTACTTATTGGGGCCCTCAAACTAAAAAAAAGTCCAGGATGAAAAAGAGAGACTAAAGCAAGCAAAGAGAAAAAAAGGAGCCCAGCAGAAATAAAAACATAGCAGGGAATGAAAGAAAGCTTGTTATAATTAATATTTTCAAAGAATAAGAGAAGAAACTATACCCATGAAACAAGTACAGAATGCTTTGATAAAGGAATAGTCAATGAACAAAAAAAGACTTTTAAAATTAAGCACATGAGAGCTCAGATTTTTAAAATTCTATAAAAGTGCCTAAAACAAAATATAAGATATCCCCCAGAAACTAAAACAAAAAGATAACAATATGGAAATAAGAAAGAAAATTTGGCATTCTGTCCAGGAAAACTGACATATAACTAATAAGAGTTCTAGAAAGAAAGAAAAGAGAAAATAGGAGAAAGAAAATTACTAAGGGGAAAAAAATTTTTTCCAGACTTTGGAATGTGAATCTTCTATTGAAATGGCTTATCAAGTGCACAGTTCAATAAACTTGGCGAGAGGGGAGCACATACTATGACTCAGAGTAAAGCTTCCAGAGGCAAAACCTAGAGATAAGGGTTCTAGAAGGGGATTTAAAAAAAAAAGCCAAAAATAGATCACTGCAAAGAGTAAGAACAGTATCAGATTTCTCAACAGGAACATAGCAATGTAGAAGATAATACAGCAATGTCCTCAAAATTCTGAGGGCAAATGATTTTCAACCTAGTATTCTGTATGAGTTATCAATCAAGTGGAAAGAGCTTGAAAAATGTATGCCCCATGAACTTTTACTCAAAAAGCTACTGGAAGATAGCCTCCAACCAAATGAGGGAGTTATCCAAGAAAAAAGAGGACAGGAAGCCTAGAAAGACAGAGATTCCAAAAGAAGAGAGGAAAGAGAAATCTCTAAGATGTCAGCAGGTATAAGAAGTAACTGTCCATCACAAAGCAAATTATGAAACACTCTGCAAAAAAATTGAAAGAAATAAAAAGAAATGCTATGTTTGGATACAGGGTGAATTTAATGATAGGTATGTGAAAAAATGTTGGAACCTCTGAAAAAACAGTATTTTGCCTGTACAGAAGAATGGGCAAATTAAAAATAAGATGATTATCAACCATAAGAAAAACAAAGATTATACAAGAAAGGAGAGTTGATCATCATCAGATATTACATGACTCAGCAGTAAACTTACGTTTATAGTTAAAATAATGTTAAAACCACTGATTTAACCAAAATTCAAGACTTCACTGTAGAGGTTGGAAAGGAAAAGTGGAGACGCCATGAGAAAGCTAAATCTTTATCTTCCCTAGTGAACTGTTAAGACAATGTCTGTTACTGGTAAATCAAGAAACAGCAACATACACATATTATTTAGAAAACTGGAGGAAATGCCAGGAAAACTAGCCAGAAGAGCTGAAGGTAGCTGCCTATAGGCAGAGACTGAAACTTGGGGAGGAGAGGGTAGAATACTGCTATTTTCCACTTTAAGTTTTTCAATGCCATTGGAATTGTTAAGCTAATCCCATGTATTACTTCTATAAAAATATTTCCTTTTCAACAAAACAGCAGCAGAATCACAGAACCCAAGAATGGACTAACGGTTACCAAAGGGAAAGGGACTGGGGAGGATGGGTGGGAAGGGAGGGATAAGGGTGGGGAAAAAGAAAGGGGGCATTACGACTAGCGTGTATAATGTGGGGGGAGGCACAGGGAGCGCTGTGCAACACAGAGAAGACAAGTAGTGTCTCTACAGCATTGTACTACTCTGATGGACAGTGACTGTAATGGGGTTTGTTGCGGGGACTTGGTGAAGGGGGGAGCCTAGTAAACATAATGTTCTTCAAAAAAAAATATTTCCTTTTCAAAACACCTTTGGACTAATAACATTTTATTTCTATAATAAAATATTAAGCCATAAATTCATGGAGAAATCAGTTCAACAAACATTTATTGAGTGTGTACTGCCCACAAGGCACCATACTGTGCCCTTAGACACAGGATGAAAGCACATTACATTACACTCTATGAGATCAGTACATTAATAATGCCAGGGAGTAGGCTGAGAAGGAAGTAACCAATCTTGAGGTTCTACTTTAGAACATTAATTTTATGATAAAGGCCTCTGTAAAATACCACCTCACCAATGTAGATACTGGTATGGTCATTCCAGATCTGATCCAAGATAAGTAACACATGGTTTCTGCAATCAAGAACGTTAGTAATGGTAAAGTAAGAGTTGTAATATATGCTGCTTTTATTACATCGTCCTACTAAGAAAATAAAAAGCTTCATTGCCTTTTATTTTCTGCACAATCTGCTGGAAGCCATTCTAAAACGAAAAGTTACCAATGGTTTGCTTTCATCTAAGTAATGTGCTTCAGAAATTAGCTCTATTTTTTTTTTCTATTGAACAAACGTTTATTAAACACCTGCTATGTGTCAGGTATTACCCTAAGATGCAGGTATGTCGACATAAAGAGGACACAACAGCTGCCCAGGAGGTTTCATGAGGAAGCGAAATTCCAGACAGCGGACAGCACCACCATACAGTAGTATTCACCAGATGACTTATGTGATGGGTTAGCAAGGCAGCGCAATACAACAGAACTACTGGAGATCTTGCTTGATGACAATGTACCCTTGTATAACTGATCATTTTCAAAGAGTTTTACACGCTACTTCATTTTATTCCAATAACCAGTCTAGAGAGTAAAGTAAGAGAGATGTCACTAGCCACTAGGTGAAGAAACAAAGTAAGCCTATGCCTGCAGTGGTCACATCAAGTAACAGTCCTGCTGGGACAAGAAATTCCGCCTCTTATCTCTACATTTTTATTGACATTAAAAACATACTTATATCATGAACCTGACCTTGCTTATTAAAACTGCCAATTATTTTATAACAGTGGGCAATCTGGTCAGCAGAGTAAGACTTCCTGTTGACCCTGATGACTGAGAAACAGAGAGAGAAAAATAAATGAAGTTCAATAGGGTTATGAGCTGGATAATTTACCGGGAGAAAATAATCTCTCTACAAATGAGTTTGCATACAAGTGGCAGATAAAGATTTGGGGGAAAAATATTGGACTAAAGTCTAATAATGAATGAGCAAAAGAATGCTATTCCTAAAAAAGCTAGTAACAACTAAGGATTTATTAAAGGAAAATAAAAAGAGTAGAGTAGCTAAAAGTATCAACAGACTGAGCATCAATCAGGTTTGTAATGTATTAATTAATTAATATAAATTAACTATATCAATCTAAATTTATATTTAATTAACTATATCAATTTAAATACTTTAAATCCTTTTAATTTTAAATATTTAATAATTTTAAAAGTTAATATTAATGTAAATATTTTAATTACAATGATTTTAGTTATTCTTAATGATTTTATATTTTAATTATTTTAAAGATAACATATCCATATTTTTAATAACTTATGAATCATAACTATAATTTTTTAATTTAACAATAATTTTAAATAATTTTAATTTTAAATACAGGTAATTTTAAGTACTTTTAAATACTTTCATATTCAAAGATTTTCTCTTCTTTGAAAATCACTGAAATAGACACTCAGCCATTCTTATATTAGAAACTGCTTTGCTGTCATTTTCCTGTCTTTTGTGATTCTGAATAGATCCATCTTTGTCCCTGATTTCTAATTCAGTATTAACTCTCTAGGTGGAGAAGAGATTGGTTTAACAACTATTTCCGTCATAAATGGATTCAGTGAATCACTGATTTTAATTAAGACAATTTCATGGAAACGTCCAGAGCTGGGGTCTCTAGCAGCTACTAGCCCTAACACTTGCTTCACTTTCAGGCCTCCTACACGCCCTCTGCCCAGGGCTGTAGCATCCTTACAGATGTTACCCATGTTCCAGCTCAGCTGCTGATGCTGCTACACTTTCAGCATTTATTTAGCACTTCTGTTTTCCAATCCCCCCAGCAGAGCTTTCAGTCACTGACAGGTAGCCACTTGGTTCCCTTCCCAACCAAACAGGAGGGTTCAGCTCTTTCTACGCAAAGAAGAGATGCACCAGCTTCAGAGAACCACCAGTTCTTCCACTCTCTCTGATGGTTTTTCTAGTTGGAAGTGTAAGGAAGAGAGGTGAAGATGAAGGACAGTGGATACTGAAGGGACTGCGTTATAAAGAGTGGGAGGCTTATAGCAAGGAAACGGCCTCAAGAGGAATTTAGCAGGGACAGAACAAAGTCAAGATGTGAATAATACTGCTGGTTGATGTTTAAAATAAAGGTTTTCCACCTATAAAAATACTAGTATTTCAGGGTTTTTTTCTTGGTTTTAACAAGTACTACTTTTTATTGAAACTGATTTACCTTTATAATTCTATTCTTCAGCTAATATTTCTATAGTAAAAAAAAAAATGGTAAGAGGACTACACAGTTACCTTGGCTTTGGACAACTGAAAAAATAGGTAATTCTTACATAAATAAGACTAAGTATCCCAAAATTATTTTCCATCGAATAAAACAAATGACTGAATTAAAGATATTCTTTAAAGGAAAAGAATGATAGTTTCTATTTTATAATGTATCTAATATCATTTTTTCTTTATGCAACTGAGTCCTCACAATTGGAACCAATTTCTCAGAAATTCCCTATCAATTAACTTAAAACAAGTTCATATTAGTAGTGAATGATTATTTTAATTAGGTAATTATTTTTTTTAAAAAAGGTTAAGACTGATAACTAAGTTAACATCTAGTAACAGAAAAAACACTTTAAATTATGACCCTTGTAAAAGTGGTAATTCCTTGAATAAGTAAAAACCCACAAAGCCAGTTCATGTAGTACGTGAAATGTGCTTAGTTATTAATGATAGTCAAAATTAAAGTCTAAGAATGAATGCTTAAGTTAACATTAATTTCTCTGGACTTATATTTTTCTTCTATTTGCAGTCTCTATCCTCTGGTTACAGCCAAAAGTATATATGATAAATTTTATAGAGATCTGTATTAACCAGAATAAAAACTCTTAGATGTTTTTCCAGCATAATGTTACAACTAATGAAATACAAAATTTTCCTGGAGGAATATTTTTATGTTAGCAGAGATGCACAAATAAGTAGGAACATTCTGAATCTGGTGGGAAAAAAGTTGCAGACTTTTCCTACGTCAACTCTATCAAGAATAATTCTATTATTGAGCACATATCTAAAAGACATAGTATATAAGAAAAAGTGTGAAAATGACAATGCATTATGTCTGAATAAGTTTACATTCTTAGAGTAGAATGAAATGCAAATAATCATTACTTACTTAGATATTCTTTCAAAGCCAAAGCTTGAACATTAGCTAACTGTTTCTCTCTCTGCATAAGCTGCTCTTCAGAAAAATGTGGAAGTGACAAGAAGTCCAAAGGAAAGCCTAGAAACAGGAAGAAGTCAGTATTATAGATGTTCTATGACAATTAATATTCAGCTCCCAGAAAATGTGTTATACATAATTAAAAAAAATAAGTCAATTACTCATCCCTCTTGATCTTGCAAATTTCAAAATAATGATAATAATAATAATAATTCAGCCACCAAAAATAAGCATACTAAATTATTTTGCATTTTAAACTTTGACCTGCTTCTTAAATTGAGGGAATTTAGATAGCAGAGTGGAATTCTCTCCATCACATTTTTTTCGATGGCTCAGCTATTAAAACTCCTACACAAAACATAAATGGAGCCCCAGCTATGTGTGACTGCAACCATATGTGGGATTTCAAAATAGAAACATCCTGTCAACCCACAATGAGACATAATAATAAATAGTCATTTTTAAGCTATATTTGGAGTGGTTTGTCAAATAGTGATGGATAACCAAAACATAGAGCTTGAAGTAAAAAAAGAGGGTAATAAAATAGAACACGATGCCTGAGAGAAAGCAAATGAAAATGAGAAATAAATTATATAAAAAAATGTGTTTAAAGTATAAAATACTAAACACTTTCTATTTGGAATTGAAGGCTGACCTACTAAATTTTACTAGTTATAATACGGAAGGAATTAACTCTTGGCACTCTAAATTGTTCAAATATGTTATAATATATTTAAAGTAAAAGGCAGATTTACTCAAAGTGAAGTGGAATTTGGGGAAAATAAGTTCATTAAAAACCACATAAGTTAACTATATACACAAACACCTGTAAAAAGGTTTTCCACCAAAAGTTAATACTTACTCAATTTGGTTTCTTCTATCCTTGCTTTCATTTTCCCATGAATTAAACTGAGGGCAAATGAGCCATTGATCTGGTTGGCTGAGTGAATCAATGTGGCTTTACATTTTCTATTGCCATTACCTTGTAACAAGAAATAATAGCTAGAACACTCTCCTTTCACTTCAACATCTGGAACTAAACAAAACAATATATTGTTAAGTATGTAAAAATTCAGCATGCAACATGCCAGAACCATACATTGACCCATAGGAAATAATGACATTTCTATGTTATTTTAAAACAAGGTATTACCCAATACATTTGGCGTAGTAATTTTTCATTTAACTGAGAAAGCTGTTAGAATCATACAAAAATGATTCTCACACAGCATAACATTTTACTTTAAATTAAAACTATGTGTACTCATTCAATAACTTGATGTGGTTCATTAGACTCCCATGCAAGATATCTTTCTTATATGACCAATATATATCAACTATTATTCCAGCTTCAATTTCTTTAAAGTGAAATAACCTAACCTCTGTAAGCACACACAATTCAACTGGTGTGGGCAGAAGTATACAGATATACTTAAGGGTAGCTTTTTGGTCCCTGCAGTGGCATCCATAATGTATTTTACAGAAGGAACGGAGAACATTCATTAATCTGGCATGCCAGTTATGTGAAGGTCAGTTAAGATAGCTCCTGGTATATTTTAAAAACAAATCTAGCGAGGGTTATAGTGAAGGTCAAAGAAAAACCGTGGAGCCTTTGAGATTAAAAATAGCAGTAGAGTCGTTTTTGTTGAAGATGGTGAATTGGACATTAAGTATTTATTTTCACTATCTCCTGAAATTCCACAAAATGAGAATAAAGAGATTCTAAAAATAGCGTAAGTCTACAAGGACCAGTGTATGAGAGAAGAGACAACAGCTACTGAATTTAGAAAGCAGGAAAGCAGATGAGCAATTGGTAACAGATCACAAGCCTCAACTGCTAAGGAAGCTGAGAAAAACAGTAAAGAAAGCTTAGAAGTCACATAATTTATAACACAACCTCTGACAAGAGATTCTGGAATGATGGCCACAGATGACACTGGAATCAAAATGAAGGTGAAATAGGAAAATTGGTTGAAAGTCTGTTTGAGAAGCAGTTTGGCTTCCTAATCACTCCTTATTCGATTCAGGCAAATGATCGTCCTTTCCCCAGCCCAGAAAACTAGTAGTTTATTCTCTGGAGAAAGCAAAACAAGGTGTCTCTGGTCTGGGAAATGTAAGGCAAACCTTGTGACTGGAGTTGATCATCAGTGGACTAAGTGAATCTTGTATACTGAATATTGAGGCCCTTTACCCTTTCTACCTACATAGCTTTCAGAATTTTGGAAGTCAGATGGCAGAATTGAGCCTTCTTTTGGAAATGCGGTCAGTCCTACAGGAAAGACTAAAGAGTCCTAACACTAGAGTCACCTAATGTCCCAGTGAGATCACCCTAAAATGAAGATCACAGTCAACAAGCCCCACTATGCACTCAGATTTTCCAATCAGCTTCTGGTACTCTCTCTTAAAAGTGAGCAGACAGCCAAACATTATGGAACCTCATAGAAAGTCTCTCCAGATGCCAAATAAACAGAAGAAAGTGACTTGCAGGGAGATAAAGAATAAACAGTAAAAAGAAATCACAGAAACAAAAACAAATCAAATCACTAAAATCTTCAGGGAAGATACTGCATCCTTTAAATAAGAACAGGAAATTATAATACGAGAACATTAAATATGAAAGAGCTTGTAGAAATTAAAAGAAAGCAGAACTTTGTATTTCAGCCAAAAGTTTAGAGGATAAAATTCAGTTAATCTATCAGAAAGTAGAATAAAAAGACAAACTAATGGAAAATAGAAGAGTAAGAGGGTAGAGAGAAACACAAACCAAGAGGAACACCATCGAAACAGAAGACAGAACATTAAAAAAATGGACAGAAGAAATTATCCACACAATTACAAAAACACTTTATTTCACAGATATGAACATACTGTGGGTTAAAGCCTAGCCACCCAAACAACTACAAAAAGAAGGTTTTGCAACTAGCCTGCAATAGAGACATCAATACTGCTCATAATAATGTCTTCAAAAAGGAATTGAAAAAAAAATGTTATTAAAAAGAAAGAGCACATGCTACCAAGTTGTATTTGAAACTAAGGTTTGCCAAGAGGTGATCTTTATTCATTTACCAACTTAGCGCTTTGCCAATTCAAGCTATGTGTCTCTTAAACCCATGACATCCTTTAAATGTTTATTTTAAACTGTCACCTTTATTAGCACTTTAATCATGATGACTATAATTACAACAATCTTATTTCCCCCACAAGAAAAATACTTATTTAAAAGAACTCGCCTAACCATAATGACTATGCAGTCATTTAAAAAAATGTTCCAGATTTGGCAGGTGTTAACTGAAGACTTATTAAATAACTTTCAGGTAAATACCATAGAGAGTAACATATTTACAATTAGCATAGTTATTCAGTTCTCATAGCTCTTCCTAAAGAAATAAGAGAAAATGATTACAACAGAAAATTTCTATTTTCATCTAATAATTTTACACTATCAACTTTTAACACTGATTGGCTTGCATGGCCTCTGTCTACCAAAACCAAACAGTGATTTTGGTTGAACTAAATGGGCAAAATGGAGAAGCAGAAACTACAAGAGCCTTTAGTTACATCAGTTTTTACAAAATACATATGATCTATAATAAAGAGATACACCATTATTAGTTTCATTAGCAAAGAAAATTCCATTTAATAAAAATCAAGTCACATTATATATACATACATATATACATTAGCAGGTTAATGGTTCTTAAATTCTGAAACTCTACTCTTTTTAGAAACACTTTAACAATTTAAAATACAAAACCATATTAATGTAATGGGAAAATAACATTCCATATGATATAATGAAAAAAATCTGAGGATGATTAGGGGAACAGGATATTCTGGTTAAGTAAATATTCTGACTTATTGACAAGCACTACACACACACACTCCTTATGAAAGGATAAAATAATTGGTGCTCCCAGGGGCAGCAGTTCCTTGCCTGGGGCAAGTTCTCTATGAACTCGATGAGGCAGAATAAAGGCAAGGACAAGGAGGTGGGGACTAAAAGGGGTGCCACATTTATTCCCATGACGGTCACAGACTGCCTGGCTCACAGGCTGGCTTGAAGGTGCTCCCCAGGCCGGCTACCGGTCATGCTCCCCACAGGAGCTTAACCCTCTAGGAGCACCGCTTTCTCAGCTCTCTCAAGGCTGTCCCCCCTCCCTGTTCCTCCCACTGGAACGGATTCTGTGGGCAGGTTTCTGATGACTGATGGATGCCTGACCAATTACATACTAGGAAGAGAGGAGAGGCGAGAATGGGTGTTTCCTCTCCACCCCTCTCCTGGGCCAGCAATCCCATGACTCTGTCCCCAGTAAACATCCCATGGATGTGCAAACAGGCATACAATGGGCCTGTTAAGGCCAGGTGGGAATCCTGGTCCAAAATACCAAATTTTCCCCACAATAATATACCCATTTGGAAAATCATTCCAAAAATTAAATAATAAAATAAAGGCTAGTCTTCATGTAAGCATTTTAGGAGGCTGAATACTTTCCAACAACAATACCATTGTTCAAACAATTCTAGACTCAACTTTTGAAATGGTCCTTGGGGTCAGCTGGGGAATCACAAGACAAACAACAAAAAAAAATCAATCTAATTACTTATAAAGTATTTCCCAAAAATGTATTGCCTAGCTTGATTCCTCACCTATTCATCAGACTAAACTTTGAACAATTTAGCATAAAACATAGCTGCCACTGAGACACTCCAAGAAAATGCCCTGACTCAATTCTAGAAAGTATTTTAAATGATTTAAGAAATGATTGTATTGTTGGAAGAGTTATATGAAATCTCCTACTGTGAAGATTCCAAAATTGCAGAAGGATTTATAAATTCTACCATGACTATTTTAAACAGTAACATTAGGATCATTGGTCTGCTTCCTATACTGTAGTTTTATTTTCTATGGTGACAGGTATTTAGCCTTGGGAAAATTTTGGTCTAGAGCAGTCTCTTTAAAATACACTGTAGAGGTGGTTTGTAGGAGGCAAATCCCCTCAATTTTTGCTTATCCAGAAATTGTTTAATCCCTCCTTCAAATTTAAATGATAATCCTGCCCGTTAAGAGTATTCTTGGTTCAAGGCCCTTCTGTTTCACTGCATTAAATATATCATGCCACTCCCTTCTGGCCTGTAAGATTTCTGTTAAGAAGTCTGATGATAGCCTGTGGGTTTTCCTTTGTAGGTGACCTTTTTTCTCTCTCTGGCTGCCTTTAATACTCTGTCCTTGTCCTTGATCTTTGCCATTTTAATTATTATATGTCTTGGTGTTGTCTTCCTTGGGTCCCTTGTATTGGGAGATCTGTGGGCTTCCATGGCCTGAGAGACTATTTCCTTCCCTAGACTGGGGAAGTTCTCAGCAATTATTTCTTCAAAGACACTTTCTATCCCTTTTTCTCTGTCTTCTTCTTCTTTTGGTACCTCTAAAATGCAAATATTGTTCCATTTGGATTGGTCACACAGTTCTCTTAATATTCTTTCATTCCTAGAGATACTTTTTTCTCTCTCTGCCTCAGCTTTTTTGTATTTCTGTTCTCTAATTTCTATTCCATTTACCGTCTCCTCTACCTCATCTAATCTGCTTTTAAATCCTTCCATTGTATATTTCATTTCAGCAGTCTGGGCTTCTACTCCCTCCCCGCTCTGTTTCTCTTCTTCCTGCTGGTGAGCTGGTGGCAGCGGGAGGAAGGCTTGGGTCCTCCCGGGTCATGGCTTTGTTATTTACCCTTTTCGAGGAGACGTTCTATTTTCCCAGATGAAGGCTGGCTGGTGCAATCTTATTTCTGGTCACTCTTTTAGGATTAGTTGCATTTGCTGTATTTTCATATTACATGTGGTTTTGGGAAATTTCTGCCTCACTTCTCACACCGTCATCTTAATTTAAAGATACTTCAAATGGAGCATTTCAGGCCAAACCATATGAAATTGCTGATATTTAAAAATTTTTAATACACAAATCAGCAATACCATATGGTTCAAACTAATACATATGTGTGTATTTCATCAAGGAATATGTTAAACACAAGGAATTGATAA